TAATTAATTAATTAATATTTTTATAATATTCTTTAATGTAATTAGTTCAACAATTTTATTATTTTTGTGCTTATACTTTTTCATTATTTTTTGTATTTTTAATATTATACTAACAACCTTACTTAAAATAATTTTAACTTCATTTTTATGATTTTTACAAATTTGAGATAGAATTTTTATGGCTTTCTATTTATAGAAATGGGATTTTAAAATAAGCAAAAGAGGAAGGAATGATTATTTTTAAGAAAATTATTGAATTTATTAATGTTATTTTTTATATTTTTGAGAAAATTAATGTTAATTTTTGTCTATTTATTCATTTAATTAATGATATCTGGTAATAAAATACATGGGGCCCATAGTGAGGGGTTGAATGATTGTGTGGTCCCATGTATTTTATGACTGGAGTGGAGCATTATTACTAGGTCCACAACTTGTTGGATGACATGTGGATCGGTGTAGCCCCCCGCAAGGATGGGTGAAATTGTGATGTCTAGTGTTAATCTATAATATCTATAAAAGTATGAATAGATGTGGTTGGCTTCTGGAATTTTCACTAGACTTAAATACCCCATCTCTAAGGTTTGAATTGGAGAAGGATCAATGGTAAAAATGTAAGTTTGCTTTTTCATTTAATGCTTATTAGGAAATGATTATTCTTTCTCATTTAATGCTTATCACCTATATTAAAAATGACAGTTTTACTCTTTACGTTTCCTTAATGATCAAATTTTACCTTTCCACTCTTTACCCCCATAAATTCATTCTTCCATAATCTATATCCATATACTTATCAACATACCTATACCTATATTGAAAATGACAATTTCATTCATTCCGTATGCGTTTTTATCCATCATTTCCAATTTGATTCCTATCTTCTTTCATTTCTTAAGTAACCACTACTTGTCTCATTAATCTACTACTAATGATCTAAGTRATCACTGGTCAATGACTGGGGATCTACACAACTTAGTGTGGCTGTTCAAAAATGGTCTGGATTTGTACTATGAACAGACATCAGAGCCCAAAACTTCTTGTGCTTGAGTGCCTATCTACCATCTGTGACTTCGAAGTTAGAATTGGGTTGAGTTGGACTTAGTTGAGCTTAAACAGATTGGTTAAGTTTATAAAAAAAAAATTATGAATATATTTTTGTATATCCATCTTTTGTTGAGCTTTATAGTTCAATTTAAGAATTGAATTGATTAAAAATATGCACAAAGTCCAACCCAAATTTAGGTCMAACCCAAGTTTTCTGGCCTAGATACGACCTGCAGCCCAAAAATTCAGCCTCGACCCATGCAAAAATTAGGATTGGGTGAGGTTAGGCCTGCCCAAGTTGTAGCACTAACTGGAACAAAATATAGTTTGATTTGAGTTGAATCAATTAAGTGCAACATTGTAAAAAATGGTGCAACCACATTTGAGTGAATAAGTATATATCTATATTACTTTAAAAAGTACAAATAGCCTCAAGAATATTTCTATAATTTTCTAAAGACAAAACTTACCCTTCTATATTTAAATTTATTGATAAAAAATGAGGGAATAGGGTAGTTGGTTATTGATATTAAATGAGTTGAAAAGAGGTAATTTTAAGATTTTCAATGCATTCAATTCTCTTTCATTAAATCCAACGTTTAAGGTATTAATTTGCATTCACCTTCATTGAATCATATATTTAAGGCTTTTTTGTTTATTCTCATCATTAAATTCTATAATTAAATCCATGCACAATAAATTAATAATTTTAATAAAATAAAAACTTATACTTTTAATATCTATTTGGAAAAAAATAGCGTTTTCATGTAGGTGGTGGTAAGAAATTAAACCATTTTGGTCAAATGGGCTAATCCATGTTGCCACAATTAAATAATAAAATTCAAAAATATATATAATAAAAAATATAGAAATTAAAAAATGGAAATGTTTTAACATCATATATTTGACATATTAAACAATAATATGTATGATAAACAATGTTATAAAAACCGATCCGGAGGTCGACCCGCTTTTGTCTTTGGTCATAGGTCACCGATTTGACTATCAAGGTAAAATGAGTCAAACCACTCTACGTCAACACTATGTGTGTGTGTGTAAAAATACATATTTTATGAATACATAGTATAATTATGTTTTATATGTATTATAGTTATGTTTTCTATATATTTTATAATTATGTTTTACATATATAACATATAATATATGTATTATGTTACATTTATTTATTTTTTTAATTCAGATTTTAATTTTTTATTTATACAAAATATTAAAATTGCAATTTGGAGCCAAAAAAGTTTTTTTTTGTGAAAATAGCAAGACAAAGCGCCTAAGGCCCTTGGGACGTATAGATCTTGAAAAGTTACTCAAAATAATAAAAAAAAAGATAACCCCAATCAGACATTGGAGTGCAAAGTTATGGCTTCCAAAAGTTTGCATATAATTAAGTGTGCAACCTGCAACTTGGTTACTGGGTCGAACAGGGCAATGGTTGAACTGCTTGGGTTAGACTGTTTTTAACTGAAAGGGAGAGTTTCAATAGAATCAAACCCAAGATCAAGGTCAAGTGATAGTTTGAACGGTTCAATCGGCTAAGTTGACAACAGGTTGAAAACGTTGATGATAAATAAGAAATGTTTTTTTTTTAAATGGAAATAGAATGTAAAATTTAAAACCCATTGGAAGTAAAACTATTTTCCTATTATCTCTCATTAAATCTCATATCTAAGGTATATTCTTTTATTAAATCCTCTATTTAAGATATATTTTTCTCATTATTAAATTTTACTAATAAAATCTATAACATTAATTTTAATAACATAAAATAAATATTTTGAAAACAAAACCATTTTCTTCCCTTTCGGTGGTGGGTAAGCAATTCAACCATTTGGGGTCAAATGCGTTAATAAATAATGCCATAATTAAATATATAATACAAAAAAAGAATTGGGCATATCATTAATATTGTATATTCATTATACTGAACAAAAATAAGTATGAAATGTAAAAAGGTATTTTTATAAATGATGAAAATGGATCGCCAAAATTAAAATCAACCTAGAAATGAAATGATGTCTTAGTCAAATAATAAAACTTTTAAAAATAGAAAATACAAAGAATCGCAAAAATAAATGTTATACCTAAGATATAATGTTTTATATTTATAAAAATAAAATATTGGGCACATCTATAATATTATACATTTATTATATTGAACAAAAATAAATATTATACATAAGATATAATTTTATCAATAATGGAAATGTAATACAAAATTTAATGTCAACCTAGAAATCAAACTTTTTTTGGGTCGTGGGTTAGTGGTTTAGGTCGAATGGATTAATTGATGATATGATAGTTGTAGAGAACACTGATGTGGACCCCACTGTGTTTGTATGGCAGCATATTTCTGTTAGTTATGTCAGTGTTAGTTGGTAGTTATTTCAGCTTTATTAATAGTTTATTTGCCATGTAAGCAATAAGGGCAATTCAGCCCTTTTACAATTAGTCAACATATATAAATATTAAGAGTGKGTCGGCTGATGTCAAGACCAACCCTCTCTCTTTTCCAAAATCTCTTTGTGTGCTTCTTCTCTTCTCTCGTTCTCTTCTTCTTCTCTTCTAAAATTTCTTTGTTCTTTTTCTTTTGAATTCAAGACTGATTGTAGTCTTGATCGACTACTTGCTATCAGAGCCAACCTAGGAGCTCTTATGTTAGTCTAATTAGATTGACTATATGAGAATATCCTAGGTTTAGAAGTTTTTCAACAAAGAAGGAGGATCGACTGATTCTTGGAGGTTACTGGTAGTGTGCGACTACTACTAAGAAGATTGTAGAAGGCTGGGAGATTTCTAGTAGTCAGAAAGAATCAGAAATGGCTTCGGATCCTCAAGATTAGGGTTTTGCATAAGACAGAAGGTGGCGGCTAGAAAATTTGTGTTTTTTTCCTTTAGGGTTTTGAGAGAAAACCCTAAAATTCAAAACTAATGTTGGTTTCAGATCAGATTTTGATCTGGTTTCATAAAGAATTTTGTTTTCTTTGTTCTTTGGAAGACCTAGGCCGGCTATTATCAGTTGTTTGGGTTTTGTTTTTTCTATTGTAGTAGTTTAAAAAGTTTTTTTTTTTTTTATTAATTCTTGACCAAGAATGGAGTTCAAGAATTAGGGGGAAGGTGTTTTTGGGACTAGCAATTCTGGTAATATGTCTGGGAATGCCTTTCAGATTACAATTGTGAAGTTTGATGGATCAAACTACTTAGAATAGGCTCAATCGGCCATGATGGCCATTGGGGGTAGAGGAAAACTCAACTACTTGTTGGGAGATGTGAAAGAACCACCTAAGGAGGACCTAATTTATACCAAATGGGTTCAGGAGAACTATTTGGTTATGCTGCCACATATCAGCTGGAATTATTTGTGGGCATAAACAATCAAGGAAATCTAGGATGTTATGAAAGAGACTTACTCCCAACCCCTTAATATTGCTAGGGCTTATGAATTGAAGTGTGAGGTTAACAACCTTAAGTAAGGAGAGAAACCAGTCTCAGTTTACTTCTCTACCTTGAAATCTCTGTGGCATGAAATTGACCACCTAGAAACACTTGAGTGGGAAAGTCAAAAGGATGCACAGACTTATAGAAAGTAAGTTGAAACTAATAGGGTTTTTGAATTCCTAGCTGGTCTGAATCTTGACTATAATATTATGAGACAACAACTACTAACAAGGGACAGTGTGGCCTTATCTCAAGCCTACTCCTTAGTGCATAGTGAAGAGACTAGGAGAAAGGTTATGATGCAACATCAACCCTTCCCACCAGCCTTGGCAGTAGTTAAACCTAAGTTTGGGGGTGATACGGAAAAGGATTTAAAGAAGGAAGATAAGTGGGATCTAGTGTGTGAACATTGCAAGAAACCTAAGCATACTAAAGACACATGTTGGAAGCTGCACCCTCATCTAGTTCCAACAAAACTCAGGAACAAAAGGAGTAATGCTAATATGATTGTTAATATTGATTGTGCATCCGCATCAGGCACAAAAGGCATGCCTCTAGACACCCTAGATGTTGTCCGAGCTGCCTTGACTCAGTTAGAAAATGAAGTTGGGAATTCAGCTCAATCATCTCAGCCACCATCAACTCCTCCCACATCATCCTTTGCTCATTCAGGTACTCGGGTCTCAGTTTATCATGCTTCAGCTCCAGGTAACACTGAACATTGTTGGRTAATAGACTTAGGTGCATCTGACCATATGGCTGGCTTGCCATCTCTATTCACTACTTATCACTTATCTTCTGGCAGAGATAAAGTGTCCATTGCTGATGGTTCCCTTGTTCCCATTTCTAGCAAGGGAGACATCAAGTTGTCTAATACCATTTCCTTATCTTCAGTTCTGCATGTTCTTAAGATTAAGTCTAACTTGCTCTCAGTCAGTAGCATTACAAAACATTAGAATTGTTCAGTAGTTTTTTTCCCTGACTGATGTGTTTTCCAGGACTTGGAGATAAGGAAGGTGATTGGAACTGGTCGTGAGATGAATGAGATCTATTTGCTTGGAGAGAGTTCTCATTGGGAAGATAATGAAGATATGAAGTCTTTTGTTTCTCAGTCTATTAGTCAAGTTATGCTTTGGCATAATCRGTTGGGTCATTTATCCTTTTGGTCTTTGAAGAGTTTGTTTCCAAATTTATTTAAGTCTGTTCAGATGTCCAATTTGAGATATAAGAGTTGTGAGCTTGCAAAGCATTGCATAATATCTTATTCATTGAGTAATAAAAGAAGTAGTAATTCTTTTGATATTGTGCACATCGATGTTTGGGGCCCGTATCACATCACTGTTATGGGGGGATASATATATTTTTTGTTGTTTGTTGATGACTATACCCATTTTTCTTGGGTTTATCTTATGTGTTCTCGAAATGAGATTCCTGCTTTGACCTAGATCTTTCATCAGATGATTTTAACCCAGTTTGGGGTAAAAATCTAAATCTTCAGATCTGATAATGCAAAAGAATACTTTACCAACTCGTTAGCCTCTTATTTGCTTGATCATGGGATCATTCACCAGAGTACTTGTCCTTATACACCACAACAGAATGGGGTTGCTGAGAGGAAGAATAGGCACATATTGGAGGTGGCTAGAAGCATTATGTTTAAYTCCAATGYRCCTAKTYGTTTYTRGGGAGATGCTATTCTTATAGCAGTGTATCTCATTAATCGAGTTCTTTCACGGGTTCTTGACATGAAACCTCCATTTACCCTTCTATACCCTGATAAAGAATTGTTTACTGTTCCCCTTAAAACCTTTAGTTGCACTTGCTTTATTCAGATTCTTGCACCTCATCGTTCCAAATTTGATTATAAGGCATTCGAATGTATTTTTCTTGGTTATGCACAAACTCAAAAGGGTTATTACTTCTATGAACCTACTTCTAGGAGGAGATTTGTCTTAATGGATGTTACTTTCTTTGAGGAGGTACCCTATTATCCTAGGGTTTCTCCTCAGGGGGAGAGTAGTGAGAGTGGGGTTAACTCATTAGAAGTTCCTTTACCTGTTCCATTGAGCGATGAGGGATGTAATGGGGAGGGTTGTTAGAGGTGTTAGGATTTAAAAGTCTATCACAGGCGGTGGAGGCAAGTTGATTTCGGTCATCAGAAGTCTAGGCCAATCCTAGTTCCTTATGCGGATCTAGATCCAGGTACCATAGTCCCTTTATAAGATCCAAGTCCCACTAAGATACCTTCCACTGTTGCAGTCCGTAAAGGCCAGCCCTAGGTCCTTTGGATGACCTTGACCTTCCCATTGTAGTCCGTAAAGGCAAACGACATTGCACCACATCCATAGCTCACTGCATTTTCCAATTCCTATCCTATGATCGCCTATCCCCCTCTTACGGGTCCTTTATCACATCCATTGCTGATATTCCTATCCCAGAATGGTGCAGGAAGCCTTGCCAGTTCCTGAGTGGAAAGATGCAATGAAGGTTGGAATGGATACTCTTCTAAGGAATAATACTTGGGAGCTAGTTGACCAGTCTAAAGGGAAGAAACCGGTTGGATGTTGATGGGTATTTACTGTGAATCATAATGCTGATGGTTCCATTGGAAGGTATAAGGCCCAGTTAGTTTTAAAGGGATTTACTCAGAGTTATGGTATAGACTACTTGGGAGACTTTTGCTCCAATAGCAAAGATGACCACTATTAGAGTTTTGTTATCTCTTGCAACCAGTTACTCTTGACCCTTGTTCCAGATGGATGTTAAAAATGCCTTCCTCAATGGAGACTTACAGGAAGAAGTCTACATGTAGTTACCTCTTGGATTTTATGATGCAAAGACAGGAAAGAAGGTTTTTCAGTTGAATAAAGCCTTATATGGACTAAAGCAATCCCCTAGAGCTTGGTTTGATAGATTCAGACAAGCCCTTGAAAAATTTGGCTATGTACAGGCCCAGTTAGACCATACATTATTCATTAAGAGAGTGGACTCTTCCTTGACTTTGCTTACTATATATATGGATGATATTGTAGTGACAGGGAATGATAACAATGTGATTGAGTCTCTTAAACAACTCCTTCATCAAGAGTTTGAGGTGAAAGATTTGGGAGAGATATGATACTTCTTGGGTATTGAGGTAGATAGATCAAAACATGGGATTTTTGTTTTTTAAAGAAAGTATGTTCTAGATCTATTAGAAGAAACTAGAAATTTGGGTGTTAAACCTGAAGATGCACCTATTGAACAGAATCACAAGATCAGTGCAGAGGGTGGAGAGCCACTTGAAGATAAAGCTATGTTCCAACGGTTAGTTGGGAAACTCCTCTACCTTTGTTTCACATGACTGGATATCAATTATGCAGTCAATGTTGTCAGTCAATATATGCACTCTCCTAGAAGTACTCACTTCCTTGCAGTTGAGAGAATAATGATCACATGAAGATAGAGGTTTATACAGATGCTTTTCTGTAAGAGGTAACCTTATCTCCTGGAGGAGTAAGAAACAATGTGTTGTTTCTCGTTCTAGTGCTGAAGTTGGATATAGATCTCTGGCTAATGGTGTGGATGAAATTCTATGGCTGAAGTCATTATTTGAGGAATTGAGTATTGCTTATGAGAAGCCTTTAATGTTGTATTGTGATAATTAGGCTGCTATTAATATAGCTCATAATCTGGTACAACATGACAGAATTAAACATATTGAAGTAGACCGATATTTTGTCAGAGAAAGGGTTTCATCTCAAGAAGTGTCTTCCATATACCTCTAACATGTAGTTCGCAGATCTTCTCACCAAGGTTGTTCCAAGGAAGAAGTTAGAGGCAAACCTATGCAAGTTAGGAATGACAAATATCCATTCTCAACTTGATGGGGAGTGTAGAGAACACTGATGTGGTCCCCACTGTGTTCGTATGGCAGCATATTTCTGTTAGTTATGTCAGTGCTAGTTGGTAGTTATTTCAGTTTATTATTTCAGATTTATTATTTGTTTATTTGCCATGTAAGCAATAAGGGCAATTCAGCCCTTTTACAATTAGTCAACATATATAAATATTAAGAGTAGGTCAGCTGATGTCAAGACCAACCCTCTCTCTTTTCCAAAATCTCTTTGTGTGCTTCTTCTCTTCTCTCGTTCTCTTCTTCTTCTCTTCTAAAATTTCTTTGTTCTTTTTCTTTTGAATTCAAGACTGATTGTAGTCTTGATCGACTACTTGCTATCAGAGCCAACCTAGGAGCTCTTATGTTAGTCTAATTAGATTGACTATATGAGAATATCCTAGGTTTAGAAGTTTTTCAACAAAGAAGGAGGATCGACTGATTCTTGGAGGTTACTGGTAGTGTGCGACTACTACTAAGAAGATTGTAGAAGGCTGGGAGATTTCTAGTAGTCAGAAAGAATCAGAAATGGCTTCGGATCCTCAAGATTAGGGTTTTGCATAAGACAGAAGGTGGCGGCTAGAAAATTTGTGTTTTTTTCCTTTAGGGTTTTGAGAGAAAACCCTAAAATTCAAAACTAATGTTGGTTTCAGATCAGATTTTGATCTGGTTTCATAAAGAATTTTGTTTTCTTTGTTCTTTGGAAGACCTAGGCCGGCTATTATCAGTTGTTTGGGTTTTGTTTTTTCTATTGTAGTAGTTTAAAAAGTTTTTTTTTTTTTTATTAATTCTTGACCAAGAATGGAGTTCAAGAATTAGGGGGAAGGTGTTTTTGGGACTAGCAATTCTGGTAATATGTCTGGGAATGCCTTTCAGATTACAATTGTGAAGTTTGATGGATCAAACTACTTAGAATAGGCTCAATCGGCCATGATGGCCATTGGGGGTAGAGGAAAACTCAACTACTTGTTGGGAGATGTGAAAGAACCACCTAAGGAGGACCTAATTTATACCAAATGGGTTCAGGAGAACTATTTGGTTATGCTGCCACATATCAGCTGGAATTATTTGTGGGCATAAACAATCAAGGAAATCTAGGATGTTATGAAAGAGACTTACTCCCAACCCCTTAATATTGCTAGGGCTTATGAATTGAAGTGTGAGGTTAACAACCTTAAGTAAGGAGAGAAACCAGTCTCAGTTTACTTCTCTACCTTGAAATCTCTGTGGCATGAAATTGACCACCTAGAAACACTTGAGTGGGAAAGTCAAAAGGATGCACAGACTTATAGAAAGTAAGTTGAAACTAATAGGGTTTTTGAATTCCTAGCTGGTCTGAATCTTGACTATAATATTATGAGACAACAACTACTAACAAGGGACAGTGTGGCCTTATCTCAAGCCTACTCCTTAGTGCATAGTGAAGAGACTAGGAGAAAGGTTATGATGCAACATCAACCCTTCCCACCAGCCTTGGCAGTAGTTAAACCTAAGTTTGGGGGTGATACGGAAAAGGATTTAAAGAAGGAAGATAAGTGGGATCTAGTGTGTGAACATTGCAAGAAACCTAAGCATACTAAAGACACATGTTGGAAGCTGCACCCTCATCTAGTTCCAACAAAACTCAGGAACAAAAGGAGTAATGCTAATATGATTGTTAATATTGATTGTGCATCCGCATCAGGCACAAAAGGCATGCCTCTAGACACCCTAGATGTTGTCCGAGCTGCCTTGACTCAGTTAGAAAATGAAGTTGGGAATTCAGCTCAATCATCTCAGCCACCATCAACTCCTCCCACATCATCCTTTGCTCATTCAGGTACTCGGGTCTCAGTTTATCATGCTTCAGCTCCAGGTAACACTGAACATTGTTGGNTCTTTTGAATTCAAGACTGACTGTAGTCTTGATCGACTACTATAGTTAAATAATAAATATTTAAAAACTAATAAAAAAGTACAAGTAATCAAAAGAATATATAAAAAATTATATATTAATTATGTCAAACAAAAATTAAGTGTGATAAGTAAAAATTATTTATATAATGTAGATGAAATATGTAATTTAAAGCTGATAAAAAAACAAAGCTATTTTCTTATTTAAATGATGGGTCAATGATCTAACTTTTCAAAGAAATTCATGATGTAATAATTGAATAATAAATATTTGAAAAAAGAGTGAGCACAAAAAATAAAAAGTATAGAATATTGTCAAAGACACTTCGGAGCATTTCTAATGTTATATAACCATCATATTAAATAAAAATTAATAATAATTGCAATTTAAAATTTTAAAATTTTTGTACGTGTACATTTAGTACAAGTATTTAAGTTTATTTTTAGTCATATTGTTACTTTTATTAATTTTTAATTTATATATTAATTATGATATATCTAAAATTCAAGTAATTAATATGAAAAAAAATCATATATACAACGCACATGTTTAATTAYTAATACAAATAAATGCACATGTTTAATTACTAGTAAAAATAAACGCACATGTACAAATAAATCGGCGAGCAAATGGTTTGTGGGTTGATCAATTCAATTATCAGGGTTTCAGCTGGTCTGTTATTAACCAATGAAACCCCCTATGGAAATAAATGCTTGGTGACAAGTAAGCAAATATGCCGAGAAGCTAGGTCAATTCAATTTCAGCTGGTCCTTTAACCAATGAAACCCCCCATCGAGATGATTGGTGACAAGTCAGCAAACCTAATGCCGAGAAGCTTGGTCAATTCATATTTCAGCTTGCCGGTTAACCGATGAAATCCTCTATCGAGATGCTTGGTGACAAGTCAGTAAAATATGCCATCTCAGCAAATACTAGTACAGGTGTCAAAGTTCTTTGGTTGTCATAGGTCAGGTCATGCTGTCCTAACTAAAGGGAACTCGCGGCTCCCCTTGCTCATCGGAATCCGCCCCTTGAGTTGCAGGGTGATGACATGGAGTTCTGAACCCAAAATCTTATATAACTAATTAAACCCCCTCCATGCATCTTCCTCGTTAACGTCCACAGAGATGAGAAAACAGACAAAAGAACGAGAGAAAAGGAAAAAGTTTATCTATTCCGACCTGTCTGATACACGTCTATGTGATCCTTTTGTTTGTTTAACTAAAGGTGTCGTTCGTTTTATCTTGCTTATTCTTGTTTCAGTATAAAGAATTCGTGCTAGAATGAAAACATGAATGTTCCTGAACTACTATTTCCTCTAGTTCTGTTAGAGAATAAAGGGCTGGAGTTTTGCGTACTCTCGAAAAGAAACGATGCTACAGGACATGATTCATCCACCGGAGCAACAGCTTCCAATCGTAAGCTTTCTAATCCCTGAAACTTTTTCATCTTTCTGTAGATTTTGGGGTGCAATTATCCATGTAATGCTTTGAGTTTGAGAGAGTTAAGTCTTTTTTTTTCTTTTTTTTTAATTTATTTGGTCTGTTTTCTCATTTCTTATATTCATCTATTTGGGTTTCTTATTATTTTTCTGAACGGAAACAATTTCATCTTTCTGGTTTTAGTCTGTTTCTTTACAATTCCAAAATGTTTGTTTTCCGAAGCTTCTCCCTTTCACACTCAACCTATTTCATGTCTCTGAACATTTTGCGGGTTTTGTTATTAAAACTTGTTTTTTCTTTCTGATGAAAGCCAATTTGCATGCATTTTCACAGTTGCTGGCCTAATAATAAGCTTGATAGAAATCTATGTTTTCCTTCCATTATTTGAGCTTGAAAAATGAACATTCTGGGTAACAGTAAGTTTGACATCAATAACTTAAAATTTCAAGCAAATCCAAGCCCTTCTGATTGACCCATCTTTTCATACAAATAATTATGCAATGTTCTGTTAGAACATATAGATCCACAATTTTTATGCTTCTTGGCTTCCATATCATTTCATGCAAGGAACTAATGAATTCAAACCTGAGGCTCTCCAGTCATGCAAGTATCAGGTTGAATTAATGTTCTTTTTCAATCCCAAGTTCAAAGTTTACCCATTAAAAGTACAGTTGCTTGGTCATTTTTCAAAAGTAATATGATGCTTCATTTTTCCTCGACTGTTATGAATTCTTTGATTGAACCCTGAAGAAGAAACTTTCAGACTCTGGTTTAATTTCATAGACCATGGCTCTTCCTCTCAAACTTATAGCCTAAGCTTTCCAACTTTGATCCTTAATTCGACTAGATTTCAATAAAGATATCTCTAAAAGCACTCAACAGGGTATAGTATAAAGGGTGAAATGACGTTAAATTCCCATTGATTTTCCGCAACTTTTCTTTTAGCGATTTTGGATTGTTTTCCTTAAACAAGAACAGCACATTGTGAGTCTCTTTTCCTTGATGTTGATATTGTAATTTCTATTTAGTAGGTTCCTAACTCCCAACATGTCACATGGTGCGCAGTACCACCCCATATTCTTTATTTTTTCACTTGCACGTATTTGACAAAAAACATCTATGAAGAAACCATCCTACTTCAGAGAATTTGTGCCTTTTGCTTGTATGTAATCTCAAAAAAGCTTGGTGCTTATAAATCATTGCATACACAAACACAGAAGTTGGCAAGCCCACTTATGGTTCCCATATATGTTTTCATCTTATATATTATTTCAACCGTTTCCTACAAGCTATCTTTTTTAATACTATTTCAGTATTTTGGATATATATATATATATATATATATATGTGTGTGTGTGTGTGTTATGTATGTATCTATGTATGAAATGCATGTCTAGAGGTATGAATCCTTCATGTTATGGGTGCAATTGGGGCACTCAATTTGAACAATTTGCACTGCATTGGACCTGGGCCCTTTAAATTTTAACAAATGCTCAACTGAAATTAAAAATGCTTAATAATTTTTTAATATTTTGCAAATTTTGAGCGAATGAATGACAAACACTAGAGGCTCATACGGTTTTTTTTTTTTTTTTTTCCCATAGCCAAAATGTTGTAAAAGATCAATCACACCATACTTTTTTTACTGGTATTACGTAGTACACATTTTAGAGGGGACTTAGGGCTGGGGACAGAGCAGTTCTGTAGGTTTGATCCATGTAATGTAACCTTTTTCAGAGAATGACTGATCAGTCCAAGTCAGAATTTTTTAGCACCACCGTATAGGGGGATGAATCCTGACCATGAATTGATGTCAAATTCACAGGCAGGATGCGGTTTATTGGGGGAGGGGCTACTAGTAGACTATTGGGGATGTAATTCATAATTCTGCATTGGGTTGCAGTGTATTTATCCCAACTTTTTTTTGGACTAACCCACCATGTACTTAACTTAGGTTCTGTTCCTTCTCTTCTGTTGGCGATGGCCATAACTTGTAGGGGTGGCGATGTTGACCCCAACCCATCTGACCCACCCAACCCACCTGCTTAAAAACCTACCAATAGCTACCCATTAAGATGCAGGTCATTATGGGTCAAGTCACCCATTTGGGACAGGTGAAGAGGGTCAGGGTGGGGTTGGGTCGAGGGAAGGGTCAAAAAGGTCAAGGTGGAGTCTCTATTCTGCCAATTGCCAGGCTGAGGGGAGAAAGTTTGGCCATTGTTCTCAATGATAGTGATCAAAACCATTGGTGATTTTCTCCCTTCTCCCTTCTCCCTTCTCTCTCTCTCTCTCTCTCTCTCTCTCTCTCTCTCTCTCTCTCTCTCTCTTCTTCTTCTTCTTCTTCTTCTTCTTCTTCTTCTTCTTCTTCTTCTTCCTAGGTTTGTATAGCAAATAGGGATGCAAACAGACTAGATCGGATTTGAATTAGGGTATATTTGAATCCAATCCAATACACCGAAGATTCGATCGAATCTCATAAATATTGATTCGAATTCGACTCCGGTCAAGATGTCCAATATATGAATCTCATTCGATCCAATTTAATTTTTAACAAAATTAATAAATTATTAAAAGGAAAAGAAAATACAATAAAAATAATATATTTATAAATAACATATATATTATATATAAATAAATAAATAACATATATATCAAATCCAGACAGATTTTTAATCAGATCCAATCATCCGATCTAATCCAATCCAAAAATATGAAATAGGGATATCCAAATCCAACAAAATAGGATCAGAGTCCGGATCGGATCGAATCATGATCCGATCCATCTGTATCCCTAATAATATATCTTTGTATGCTCTTTTCTGCCATGGCAGAACAAGTGGTAGGTTCATTAGATCTAGTTCAAACCCAGATCTGTGTTCATCGTCTTCCTCTATTTAAGATAGGGTAAAGATAGATCTGGGTTCACAAACACAGATTTACTGAAGAGGTCGCTCTAGATAGGGTTGAAACCTTCATTGTCTTCCTCTCTGAAGACAAATTTGGGTTTGCAAAATAGATCCACAATTGAGGTCACACTAGATCTGGTTCAAACCTTCAATGTCTTCCTCTATGAAGACAAATTGGGTTCACAAAATAGATCCACGGCAAAGGTCGCACTACATCTGGCTCAAACCTTCATCGTCCTCCCCTGTGGAGACAGATTTTGGTTCATAAAATAGATCCACAATAGAGGTCACACTACATCTGGTTCAAACCTTCATCGTCTTCCTCTGTGAAGACAAATCTGTTCGCAAAACATATCCACCATAGAGATCGCAATAGATGTAGATAAAACCTAAATTTGTTTTCATCTTCTTCCTCTATGAAGACAGGTCTGGGTTCGCCACCTGTAAAGAAGATGGAATCAGATATATTTTCTCAAAATTTCTTATATTTTCCTACATTTTTTAAAATTTCTATTATTTTAAAAAATGATGAAAACTTATATCAAAACATTTACCAACATTTTTACATTTTAATTTCTTGTATTAAAAAATTCAAAAAATATCTATCAATTTTTATAATTTTCCTACATTTTTTACGTTTGGTTTTCTTGTAATTTTGTTATTTATTTGCATCCTTTTGTTTTACTACAATTTTTGTTATTTTTGTTGCAATTTTTTGTGTTTCCAATAATTTTTGTATTTTCTTTTCGTTACATCATTTTTCTAAATGCTTCATACTTTCTGTTTTTGTAGTTTATACATTTTCCTATATTTTTTGTTATTTATTTGCAACATTTGTGTTTTCTATAATTTTTTATAATTGCTTCAGTTTTATGCAATTTCTATTTTTTCATATTTTATATTTTCCTAAATTTCTTATTTTTTATATCTTTTCATTTTTTCTTCATTTTCTATGTTTTTTACAATTTTCTGTTTTTTATGTGAAATGATACTTTCATTTAAATTTTTCCTATAATTTTTTTATGTTTTACATGAAATATATTTATCATATTCAGTATTTTTGTGCATTTTTGTTTTTATTTGAAAATTATTTTTTGAACTTTTTATTCATTTTTATGTTTTCTAGTTGGCATTTCTATGTTTAATGCATTTTAAATAGAGAAAATTAGAAAATATGTCACAGTTTGGGTTAGGATGGGTCATATAGGTGGGTCATATGGGTGGGTCAGGGTCAAGGTGGGTTTTGACCCACTAACATCAATAAATATGGGTGGCAAATGGGTTGGAGGTTCAATATGGGTGMGTTGATACTCAACCCACCCATTTGTCACCCCTATCAACTTGTATCCACTAGTCGGTTTCGAAGAACCAATAACTAACAGCCGCGTTATGAATGTATAGGGATGGCAATTTCCCCCATCCCCGAYAAGGATCCAATTCCCCTGACCCGATAGGGTCAGAGATGGGGATTGTTTTGGCAAAGCAGGGACGAGGATGGGGGTTAATTTCAGAACATTATTTATATTAAACATATATATGATATTTATATTAAACATATATTATTTATATCAAAACATATTTAAAACATTATTTATAATTTAAAATTTTTATTTATTTTAAGTAAATTATTTTTCAAGAAAATACTATTATCTAAAAAATTTCGGGGATTTGGATCCCTACGGGGAACCCATCCCCGTTGGGGATTGAGGACGGGTATGGGGTTAATTTCAGAATCGGGGGCGAAGACGGGGAACATGATCCCCGCCCCAAACCCGTCCTGTTACCATTCCTGTGAATATAGTCATTTTCCAATTTCTGGTATGATATTCACAAAAAAATAAAATAAAATATTTCAATAGTTCTTAATAGGGGTGGGAGTGAAACTCAACCTGTTTATCAATCGGGTAAAAAGATTATGGGAACCAAACCCGAGCCTTATGTTGATCGGATGTTAAAAGATGGAAATAGGCAGGTTTGGGCAATCAGGATGTTGAATGTTACTACCATGTTCAACGTGTGTGCATGTGATTCTAAAGTGGTTCCTTTTATGTTCAATGTTACTACCATGCATTCATTCTAGATGATCAATATGGTAAGGAAAAAGAAGGGATGATTTAAAAGCCTTTCATGTTCATGTTCATGTTCATGTTCATGTTCATTACCCTAATATGTTCATCTTTGTCCATTTGGATCTGGCTCACATGAATTTTTGTTCTAGCACTACAGGCTAGGGTCTTATCCTGTATTGAAATAAAAGCCTTTTATTTGCTTAGGTGAGGGGCGGAGCCACGGGGACCCAGGGTAGCCATGCCCCCTATGATCCGGAATTCTATGGTCTTCCATGTAAATTTTCCCCCTCCCCAACTCCCCACCCTAATGATGGCTGTCCCCTATAGGCCCATCCATACTTATCCCCCCTCCCCCCTATCCAACCCCAAATGGAGCGGGTTTTCCCCGACCTTAAATGGAGATGGATTTAATATTAATTTTTAAAATATTCTTGATTTCCCTCAAATTCAAAAGAAAAACTAGGATCCCATAATCACATTTCCAAAATATCCCTAAATTCTCATAATCCTATTTCTAAAATACCCTTAAGATTTGATATATTTTTAGGTGGTTTACTCGGGGTGAGGAAAATTTAGGAATTCCCTATCCCTAGTGGGGGAAGGGTGCCCTGGCCTGAACTGGCCCCATTGCCATTCCTAGTGAGGGGAAATGGTGTAGAAACAAAACCTTCTAAAAATAAATTAGGGGCTTCCGGTAGGATAGCTCTTAAACTGGAAGCCTAAGTCATGGATGATACAAGTATGGTTCCACTAGATAGCATTTACTTGAACAGTCCACAGTGATGAAAGTAGGTACCAGTGTTTGAAGCAAGAAATGAGATAAATTGTAGCTTTCCTAAAAAACAAATGAAAAAAAAAATGCCCATCAAAGTAACTGTAAGTTGTAATATTAATTCCACTTTAGATGGTGAACCAGACTAAAATCATTTATGGCTCCCAAGTGTTATTAGTACTAGTGTATTAGATAGGAGAGAGTTTGTATATTTATATGAAGTTTGCTTTGAATGTGTTACAGGAGGATATATGCAGCCCGGTTTCCTCTCAAATTTTCGAATTTTGCGAACAAGAATTATTCCCAGAAACTCTACAGAACTCTGACGTCTCTTCTTGTTCGAACTGTTGTTACGAAGATAATTCTTATCCCACCAATTTATGCTCTTCATTCTCTTCCATCCCTTTAGATGTAGGAAAGTTGAATATCAACAACATCAACACTCCCACCAACCCCACCACCAACACAAACAATAACTTCTCAATCATCTTCGACTCTCAAGATGAGAATGATAACGACATCTTTGCCTCCATAAGCTTCTCGCCGATATCCACATTCTCAGTACTTCCATTACTGGAAGCTCAACAGGACCAGTTCGATCTCCCATCGCTGCAAGTGCAAATCCCAGTAGCTGACTCTGCTAATGGGATCTCAACATACTCTCCCGACCCCTCTGTCCCACTTACTGAACCTCCATTACAGGCTGTTTTCGAAGAAGATGGCTTATCCTCGTTGCCTTCTTACGTGCGTCTGGACCCATCTTCTCCTTCTTGTTCTGTCCTTGATCCGACTACTTGTTCTATCCTTGATCCCACTATGGGATCTTTCCTGCCTGGGAATTTGAGTACAGCACTATCTGCTGATGTTTCGGGGCTGTTTGGAGGAAGTATTCTAATGGGTGCTGATCTGCAACCACAAGAATTGGAGTTTCAAGGAGACAACTGTGGGCTTTATGCTTCAACTTCACTGCAACGAGTTTACAGCTCGGGAGAGATGCAGGTATTATTACTACCAGAACAACCATGTTAGAATAACGTATTTTATATATTAAAATCACTTTCTGAGTACATGAAATCATGTAGGCTCTGTTTGGAGACCTTTTGAAATGAATGATTTCGTTGTTCTTTTGCTTTACATTTTGGAGCACAAAAGTTTACCGTATGAACTGGAATACGTTGCCAGAGATGGTGAGTACAGGATTTCTTGAATATGAACTGAACTGAAATGAGTCTGTTTCTGGTGACCACAGTTCGACATGACATGTTTTGTAATACTGAAATGAAATGATTCCATTTACATGGTGTCCAAACAGTTGCTAATACACATTGCATGATTTGATTATCTGCAGTGTTTTTTTGTTAAGAAGATGACGCTAAAAAATTTGCAGTGTAATTTCATTTTCACTGATGTAAAAATATAGGAATGCAAATGATTTTGATTGCAAATTCTAATTTATTTTAGTTTTCATCTTTCACCTTATTTTGTTTCATTGCAGTGCATATGAAGTAAAATAACAGGTAGAGTAGAGGAAAGTAAATTCCAAATTGAAAGTGAAACAGAATTTACATTCTTCTTATTTGCACCCCTATGCATTTGTACTAAAACAAATAAAATTGCACTACAAACAAGCAGAGCCTTAATTTAATTCTTCAGTAATCAGATCTTTTAACTCTTAATAATCATGGAAGAAAGAATAGTAGCCACAAACGTATAATTATCGTTTCTAATCTGTCTGTGTATTCACTTTTGCAAGAACATTAATAATGATTCTACACATTTGGTGAATGGTGGTGGGGGCGCCTCTCTAACATCTGAAATCTCCGCCTTTGAAGAATCCACCTACAAGGTTGGACGGCTCTCTGTTGAGGAAAGGAAAGAGAAGATACATAGGTACATGAAGAAGAGAAATGAGAGGAATTTCAGTAAGAAAATCAAGGTATCTCTCTCTCCCTCTCCCTCTCATAATTCTTTCTTCTGCACTGTAAAATTAATGGGGGATTATTGTAGAGTTGGATCTGCATTGTTCATAACATTAAGTTGAGGAATGCTGACTAGTAAAAGGTTTTATTGGGTGTTAAATTTCGGATGCCTTGTGTAAATATTTCATGTCAATAGGATGTTTTCAGTAAGGTTGTGTTTGGTTTGAGCGAAAAAGTAGGAAAAGATAGAGAAATCTTTACGAACCTCGTATAGTTTCCCTACATTTTTCTTCCTTTCCCTACCTTTTCTTTCAAACCAAACATAGCCTAAATTAATTATTTTGTAATGGGGTCGCAAACAGATCAGATCAAATCAGATATATCAAAATCTAAATTCAATTTATTGATTTTGGTATTTGAATCGAGTCTTTACATTGAACTCAGATTAGATTTGAATATCAAGTACCATTAATGAATTAAACTAAAAATAATCAGGTTCAAATAACAGTATAAACTATGACTCTTTAATTACACACATAACAGTATAAACTAAAAATAATCAGGTTCAAATAGCAGTATACAACATCCTAATCAATTACACACATAACGATCAGATCAGAGTGGTTTCATATTCCATCAAATTATAAGCAGATCAAATCCAAATCCAAACTCAAACAAATAGATATTGTTTGAAGCCCAATATATTTTCTAATGATTTTTTTTCATGTTTTATCACATAATGTGCAGTATGCATGCCGTAAAACTTTGGCTGATAGCAGACCTCGGGTCAGAGGAAGATTTGCAAAGAATGATGAATTGGGAGAAGCCGTGAGGCCCAATTGCAGTAATCATGAAGTCGAGGATGAAGAGGAAGTAAGATTTTCTTTATGCAATGTTAATTAAGGGGGTGTTTGTCAATGTGAATAGATTAAAAAAGAAAAAAAAAACCTGCAACATCAGCAAAAATGTATTTTTTTATATGATAATTGTTTTTGTTAAAAAACAAAAAAAAACCATTCACATTAACAAATACATCCTAAGGGGGTGTTCGACAACATGTTGGGTCATCCAAACACTCTCTAATTTTGCATATAAAATTGGGAAGCAGTAAGCCATTCAGGACAGGCCACTCAAGTGAAGTTGTCAGAACTAACAAACACCAAACATTTGCTTACAACTAATAATCTTTCTTCTTTTCTTTTCCTACAGATAACAGTGAAAGACGATGAGGAGATGATTGATGCTTCAGATATTTATGCGCATATTAGTGGGGTGAATTCCTTCAAATGCAACTATGCTCTCCAGTCCCAGTCCTGGATGTGAATTGTGAACAACTTCACGTCGAGATATATGCATTTCTACAATTTTGATAGACTCCTCTCCTCGACATTTCAACTGATCAGGCCATGTTTGCACGCATCCAGTTCGAATAAAAGATGGAGTCATTATTGTTTTTATCTATATACGAAGGAGATAATAATGTATCAAGTGGGCATTTGGAAGCCAATTCCAACAAACTCATTTCAATCTTCATTTGCCTTGGTATTTTAATGCACACGTGCACACATCATCTAAAATGATTAAGATCAAGTTTGGGATCACACCATTAAGCACTTATTGATATTTGGGGAATAAGTCCCAAATAAGTGTTTAAATAATAAGTCCAAATTTTTAACATTTTTAAGTGTTTAAACAATAAGCACTTATTTGAATTTTCTATGCCAAAATTGTCTCCAATTATGCCCTTGGAAGATAAAATCTCTCTCTCTCTGAATCTCGGTAGCCTTGAGGATGTCTTGGCTTTTGATTTCACTCCCAAATACCTTCAAATAGTAGGAATTGGATGAAGAGGATTCAGTAAATAAAGAAGAAAAGGTTGCAGGAGAAGAAGGAAGAGAGCTCCGGGGGAGTGAAAGAGGACTTATCAGAGCTTGGCAAAAACCATTGGCCAACAGCTATGGATTGTGGCATCCTTCCTCGCTCCTCCACCAGTTACCAAGTCTTCCTCCGATTCACTCCTCCACCAGTTACCAACTCTTCCTCTGATGCCGTTGATTCCTCTGATTCTTCTTTCCAGACATTTCTAGGCATTCGTAATTATTAGAAGGTCATACAAGACTGTAACTCATAGTCCCAAAATTCCATATAGTTTGAATTAGTTTACCCACGTGGACTCACTTCTTGACATCTGGAATGTTCTCTGACACTGTATATATATTTCTATCTCTTCTATATGAATACACATGAAGTTTTCTTCAACAAGTCAGTTCCTTTTTCAGTTACACGTTGGTTTTCTGTTATGGTATCAGAGCGGTAGATCCATCCCGCCTGTCTCCCTGTTTTCTTTTCTTCTTCTGCGTTCTTGCAATCTTTAATGGCGAATGCCAACGTAACCACCATGGCCGAGAGCGATCCAAGATCTCYTTACTTTCTTCATCCGTCGGACAATCCAAGGGCGGTGCTTGTTTCAGCGCAACTCATCGGCGACAACTACTCGACTTGTAGGCGCATAATGAAGAACACTCTTCAAGCGAAAAGCAAATTCTCCTTTGTAGATGGAAGTCTGTCATGTCCAGATTTGACCTCCAGTGATCGTCTGGCTTGGGTAAAGTGCAATTCCATGGTGATTGGCTGGCTGTTCAATTCTGTAAGCAGAGATCTTCATGAAAGTTTAGCATATATGGACACGGCTCAAGAAATATGGATAGACCTTGAGGATCGGTATTCACAGGGCAACATTCCAAGAATCCACCAACTGAAACGTGACATCGTGCTCTTGAACCAAGGTTCAATGAATGTAGCTGCATATTTTGCAAAACTGAAGCGCTTGTGGGATGAGATGTATGCCCTCATTCCTGCACCTGTCTGCATTTGTGGCGCGACCAAAGAATATGTGGCAGAAAGAGAACGAGAAAAATTGCACCAGTTTTCTCATGGGATTGAATGACAACTTCAATTCTATTCGATCCAACATATTGGCTACCGAACCAGTTCCTGGAATCAATCGTGCTTATGCGCTGATCATCCAAGAAGAACGACATCAATCGGCAGTTTTGCATCGTGCTGTTCAAAATCATGAGGCTGCAGCCATTGCCATCTAGTACAAATCAGGATATCACATGCAAGATCCTAATTCTCAGTCTTGCAGCAAACTCTATTGTGATCACTGCAGAAAGAAAGGTCACACTAGGGACCGATGGTGATCACTGCAAACTCTATTGGGATCACTGGCGCATGTTTCCACAACCGCAGACAATTTTGCTCCTGTCTTTACACTGGATCAGTATAATCAGATGTTGTCGCTCATTGGTCAAGGTAAGCTGCAAGCTAATACTACTAATCTTGCGGGTACTGTCACTCATACCTCATCATCTTTAAATTCCATGCACTTGATACTTGATAGTGGAGCATCAAACCACATGTCACCCTTCAATATTAATCTCACTGCATGCTACTCCATAAATTCTCCAAAATATGTTAGTTTGCCTGATGAATCCACATTACTTGTAACACATCAAGGTTCTTGCACGATCACACCTCAGCTCACTGTAGATCACATTCTTTGTGTTCTTGATTTCCACTTTAAACTACTTTCAATCAGCAAATTAACCTCCCAATTGAATTGTGCAGTTACTTTCTACCCTGATTTCTGTATTTTACAGGACCTAGTCTTGAAGAAGGAGATTGAGAGGGGTAAGATGTGGAATGGAATATACTACCTTCACCCACCATCCACCACCGACATTACCCCATCGTCGACATACATGCTATGGCATCAACGCTTAGGGCATGCATCCTCTCCTCGGGTCATCACCGTTTCTGGTCATTCTCCCAATGATGCAGACCGGAGTTGTGAAATTTGCCACAAGGCGAAACTTACTAGACTTTAATTTCCAATTAGTACTACTCAATCTACAGTACCTTTTGAATAGTTACATTATTTTCTCACTATAATGGATGATTACATTCACAGCACATGGGTTTACCTGATGAAGCATAAAGCAGATACTCTGGTTTTCTTGGTCTCATTTTGCCACATGGTTAAGACACAACATAATGCTACTGTAAAGTACATCAGATCAGATAATGGGACTGAATTTTTGTTTGGAGCCATGCAACAATTTTATTCACAAGCAGGGATAATACATCAATGATCATGTGTTGACACGCCCCAACAGAATGGTGTTGCGGAACGCAAACACCGACACTTGTTGGAGGTAGCTCGTGCACTCAGATTTCAAGCCAATCTTCCAATCACTTTTTGGGGTGAGTGTATACTTATAGCAGCTTACAACATAAATTACACCCCGACATCCAAATTTCAAGGAAAATCTCCAGTTGAAGTGTTGCTCAACAGATCTCCTTCTTATTCCCACTTTAAGGTTTTTGGGTGTTTATGTTTTGCTCGGGTAGCTCCACCAATTCATAACAAATTTACCACACAAGCCCGAAAGTGCATATTTGTGGGATATCCATATACCCAAAAAGGACATCGCCTATATGATCTAGAGTCCAAAACCATATTTGTATCTAGACATGTGTTTTTTTATGAAACCCAATTCCCTTTTAAGGACTGCCACCCAAATCCAATTCAGCTCGTTCCCTCACCTGTCATTCCTTTACCCCAAGAGGATGTTGAATCCACTGTCATTTCACAACACTCCCATTTAAAGGACTACATTTGCTACATACCCCCATCTTTACAACAACAATCCCATGTCCTCACATCAGCATTGATTGAACCCAAGAATTATACAGAAGCATCTCAAGATCCAAAGTAGCAACAGGCCATGGGCAAAGAAATTGAAGCTCTTGAGCGAARCAACACTTGGTCCATTGTTGATCTCCCACCAGGAAAAAGAGCCATTGGTTCAAAATGGATCTACAAAATCAAACTAAAACCTGATGGTACTGTTGATCRCTACAAAGCCCGCATAGTGGCCCATGGATATACTCAAATTGAAGGGTTAGAATATCATGACACTTTTGCCCCCCGTTGCCAAATTGGTAACCATGTGTTGCCTGTTAGCAGTTGCGGCAGCTCAAGGTTGGTCTATTCACCAATTTGACGTCAATAATGCTTTCTTAAATGGTGATCTTCATGAGGAAGTCTATGTGCRCATCCCACAAGGATTTGATAACAATAAGCCACACAAAGTTTGTCGCCTACAAAAGTYCCTATACAGGCTCAATCAAGCGTCAAGAATGTGGTTTGAAAAATTCACTCTTGCCCCACAAGAATATGGCTTCTCACCGTCCAAAGTTGACTATTCACTATTCACACTACAGAAATCAGATACCTTCACAGCAATCTTGGTGTATGTTGATGATCTTATAATCACTGGTACTCATGAGTCATGCATTCAAGAGCTGAAGGATTATCTACACTCATGCTTCCTTCTCAAAGATTTGGGCTCTCTCTCTTATTTTTTGGGTATTGAGGTTCAAAGATCTACATCAGGAATTTTCTTGAGTTAGCAAAAGTACATTCACGATATTCTACAAGAAACAAACATGCTTAACTGTAGGGCTACTAAAATACCCATGGAGCAATTACCACCACTCCCTGATGATTCCAACCCATTACTTCAAGATCCTAGACAATATAGAAGACTAGTTGGCTGACTTGTCGATTTACAAGTCACTAGACCAGAACTGAGCTTTGCAGTCAATACTTTGAGCCAATTCCTTCACAAACCTCGGCAGATGCATATGGATGCAGCTTTACGAGTCCTACGGTACTTGCAAGCCACAGCATCTCATGGGTTATTTCTACCATCTACTTCTAACCTCACCCTTAAAACTTTTTGTGATTCTAACTGGGCCTCATGCTCCATTACCCGACGATCAACCACGGGCTATATTACCATGCTAGGAGGATCTCTCATATCTTGGAAAAGTAAAAAGTAGAGCATGGTGTCTCGGTTATCAGCAGAGGTAGAGTATCGTGCAATGGCTGTAGCTACTTCAGAGTTGTTGTGCCTCAAACATCTCCTCCATGATCTTGGAATCACCATCAAAGGTCCCATGCATCTATATTTTGATAGTCAAGTGGCTCTCCACATCGCCAACAATCCTGTACATCATGAACGAACCAAGCACATCGAAATCGACTGTYGCTTCATTCGCCAACACATTGCAAACAACACAATTGCTACTCATCATATTTCCAGCAAAGATCATCCGACAGACCTCCTCACAAAACCTCTGGGGCCTCTTCCACTTTCTACACTAGTAAGCAAGTTGGGCATCCAACCTACCCCTGCTCCAACTTAAGGGGGGTATTAGAAGGACATACAAGACTGTAACTTATAGTCCCAAAA